CCTTTTTTCGAAAATGTCTTGGGTTTTATTATGTTAGTAAAAAAAATGGTTTGATCGTTGGTTAGCTATTTTAAGTGTTTCATTGATAAAGAGTATGGTAGGGCACAGAGCAGGGTGGGGATATTAAGGGCTTAAGTTCAGAAATTTAACTTGGCTCATTTACGCACAGGGGTGTAAAATTAAGATTAGGTGGTGTATTAGAAGAAAATCTGGACTCAAAGATATTTTGAGCCCAAATTGACTGAGGGGTATATTTTGCAACAGGGTAGTCAAATATGAGGGTCTGGTAAGTGAGGACCCAAGTTCAGATATTGAACTGGATCCAATTAAGCAGCGGGATTTAGTAATATCTTTGTAAAATATTAAATTAATTAATTGGAAAAAAAATTGTATTTTTGTTTATAAATTATGAATGTTTTGATTTAATAATAATAATTAAAAAAACTAATTAAATTTTCACCCTATTAATAGGATAAAGAAAAATTATTTGTATCCTAAAAGATAAAAAGAAAAATCAAATTAAAAATAAATTATTTAAGATACTAAATACTACAAACGAAATTAGTTTCAACAGTATATAAAACTTAGTCTATAACTTATTTGATTATAAATTCTATACAATTCACTCTTGTTGCATTATCTTTAATATTGAAAATCATAGAGAACAAAATAAAAAAGCAAAAAAACTAGAATTGTGACTAGTGTCTACTACCTCCAATTTTTCTACACCATTTATTGTCAATACTCATGGTTCATAGGAGTCAAATATATATAGCACATGGTAAACATATATGATAAAATAAATAAAACATAAGCATAAGTAGAAAGACTTACTGGAAGGTGACGGCAGCGAGGTGGAAACCTGTGTGCAGAGGTTGTGTGTGATGGTGTTAAAAAACTCGCCTTCCAATTGTGAGAAAAATTTTAGGTGTTCTATTCAGAATCCTAAAATAATTGTTGATAAGATTGTTGATCTCCAAATGATTGTTGATCCAGACTTTAGGGTTTCTTTGTTCTTGTTATTTGATGTGAAGAGCAATAACTTTTAGGAGAACTCTAGTGAGTTGATTAAAAATAGTGTGAAAGAGTGACATATTTATAGTGATAATTAGGTCAACAAATTAGGAAATAAAGTTAATTGACAAATCAAATTTTTCTTAGTCACTAAACTAACCAATCATAAGATGAGTATGACACAAATTGACACTGATTGACCAATAAAAAACAATTAAACATAAAAGAAAATATTTTTGGTATTTATTATAATTTTTGCACTCAATTTTGGTAAAAAGTGTATAGAATTAAATAAATAATTTTTTAAAAAAAGAATTAATTAAAAGTACAAAAATAAATAATAAAAAATTAGCTTTTTTGTGATTTTTTTAAATATAAATAGAAATAAAATTAGTAATATATAGACAGAAAAATATTCAAAGTGCACCAAGTGAGATTCAAACACATAACCTTATATTTGTAAATTTTATTCCTTATCAATTGTGTTATGTTGCTTATTTGATACAAAAACGCAATTGAAAGTATATGAAGACGAGCAAGTATATTTATTTTAAAAAATACAAATAAATTATTATCTATATTTTTAAATAAGAAAAGTAATTTAAAAACTAATATTTATAAAAATCAAAGAATGTTAGTGTAAACGAACCAAAAGAATTTTAAAACCTAATTTTGAAAATAATTTTGACTATAACACTGAGACAGTCAAATTTAAAGTATAACAATTGTCTTGTGTTATTTACATTCATACATTTTATTTTCTATATTTTATTATCCTCGGAACATAATATATTCATAACTTCCAGAAAAACAACAAATTAAGAATTGTTGAACAAAAACAAGAAAAAATGGACAATCTTAATTCACTCCGTTTTAGGTTGCCTCTTATAGTTACACTTGTCATTAAAAAAATTCCAATTGTGATTAGATACTTTGTGTGAAATGTTGCTTTAAACAAAGTGGGTGGCCTTACTATTGAAGAAGTCGTGTATCTAAGAGGTTGTGAGGTTTCAAAACCCGTATTTTATAAAAGTTCATAATTAAATTATAGTAATTATAGGTCCAGTCATGATATTTTTCACATCTAGAGATAGCTAATTCAAAAGGGGGTATTTAATCATTTTTTAATTGCATTTGTTAACTATCAGTTTACCTTTCTCATTTTTACAAGTTACACACAAATCAATCAATCGCGTTCTGTGCACCCCTTGTTAGTGTTACAAATTCATTTTAATGTATTTGTAAGTACAATCACATTTTTCTTTTACGAAATTAACACAATGTTAATGAATACAATAATTTTACTTGCTTCATTTTAGTTTTTGTTGGCACAAATATTACAATTTCATTTTAACTCCAAACCTCTCTACCACACATGGAAAAGGTTTAATTTAATGGTTAAATGTCATACTTTGTATAAATTTGATGATTTAGCGTATGTACAACACTTTACAAAAGAACTTAATGGAGAAACAAAATTACTCTTGAATGTTTCAGCGGGGTACCATGTTAACCAAGTTTGCCGTTGTGGTGAAATAATTGATCGATAACATGACTCGAAATGAGTTATGTGTTATATGATTGTGGTGTTATAAGAAGAAGAAACATATCAATTGGATGCATTGACTAAGAAAATTAAAGAACCCTAAATGGGGTATCATCGGCTAAAACGTGTAATATACTCTTCTATGTTACTATTATGGAGAAGTTCACCAAAGTGGTCTATGTAACAAGAGGATATATGGAAGAAGAATTCAATTTTACACATGATGGGATAAATCAATGGGATAAATCATCCAAACATTATATGGAGTGATGATCATGGTCAAGGGTCTAATCAAAGACAACATAATAAAAATAGATATCAAAAAATAGAATTTAACATCATCACTGAAACAATACTCAAATCGACAATAGTGTACCAAAATCAAAAACAACAATACTTAATAAAAAAAGCCATACCAAAATTAGCAACCATAATATATTTGTAACAATAGGATCAAAATCAACAACAACCTTCATAATAATACTACTGACCACCTCACCAAAGACAACAACAAAGATACTAGGATGATTGTAACACTCTGATTTTTTATTTTAATATTTGAGTTATAGAGTGCTTTAATTTAATTAGTAATATTAAAATTGTTGGGTTTTATTAGAAATTATTATAATTTTAATTATATTTAAAATAGATGAAGCTTGTTGCATTTACAAACCCTATCAGAACTTGGATGTGGTTTCCATCCACCAAAGGGAGAAGATAGAAGAGGTCAGCTCTTCTAGAAAGCATCTTCTAGATGTCAAGGTCACGGATTTTGACATACATTAAAAACTTAGCTAAGGAGTTGTTCTTCTATAAGGGAGTTGTTAGAGTGAGTCATGATCTCACCGATGAAAATTTAGTTTACTGTTTGACAAAAGAATTAGTTAGAGGAAAAACCAAAATAAATCCAAAAAGATAAAACTATTGTCGTAAGATTAATGAGTAACTCATTATGATAACTCGACCTAAAAGACCGGAGATCACAATAATCATCAAGTGTAATGGATAACAACTAATTGTGAAGGAATACAATAATGGACATTTTAGTGAGCATGATTTTTAAAGCATCTAGAAGTTGTGATAAATAGAAATTTTTAATGAGATTTATACTTATGCATAATAGAGTACATAGCTAGCGAGGTACACTTGACAGACTCGCATTTATGAGTGTGGAAGTGGCGGTTGCTTCCTATGAAATCACAAACATAGATTTCTAAAACATTCATTGAATTCAAATAGGCATGCAAGGCCAAAAAAATCCGTGATTTTTAAGAATAAACCTAAAGAAAGGTTGTGTATGGATTTGATATCAGAGTTCAAGACTACCGATTTTGTTAAATATAAATTCTTACTCATTATGATAAGGTTAAAATTTAAGGATTTGGTAGGTGGTTTATTAAAGCACAAAATGCTTTCAGAAATTAATCCAAATATGCATCTCTTAGAGTAATCCATTTTCCGAAAACTCTTAAGAAATCCATTTTCCGAATATGGGGTGAATTACTCACCTATAAAACATCTCTTAGGGTAATCCATCTTCCGAATATGGGGTGGATTACTCACCCATAAAACATTGAATTGTGTGCATTCGTATCTCCAGATATGAAAATAGCAAAATCAAGTTTTCTCACCTAAGGATTTGATAAAATCATGCCCTGGTAAGAAAACAACAATCAATTTTTCCTTGCTCTTTTCTCAACGCGTTTTCCTCCTCACACGAGTTCATGGTAAACATCCATTGGCACAATTTTTAACAATTGTCAATAGGTCAAACGAACAAAATCGTGGTAAATAGCCAGGCACAACCCATGATAAAAGTTACGCAACACCACGGAGTGAACATAATAAACAACCACATACGTAAGTTGCCAAAAACATTACATACATTTTTAAAATAAAAACAAAAAAAAAAACATCAGCGATCAGTATGATACGCTGGGATGAAACCGAGCCCTAATTTGGTTGTACATATCACATTCCAATAACATCTAATATGAAAAAAGCAAACATCCAATTGTCACTGTATCACAACTCATTTCACCATGACAAACAAACTGAACCATTTCCTGCCCTGCAAAACCTCAATACAGAGGCAAGTGCATAAACTACGAAAAAGGCAGTGACCATTAAAATTATTATAATAGTTCTAAAATCAGAACAGATTAAACTTCCTTAGCATATAAAGCATGCTTATTTTAATGGATTGTTAACCCTAAACAAAAATATTAGGGTTTCGTTTTCAGGAGTAGACAATTACAATTTCAAAAAACAATCAATCGTAATGAGAAAATTACGAAACCGATACGCAACTACCAAAAAACAATGCGTAAATATAACAGAGAACGAAATCAAAATCAAGCACAATAAAACGAAATTCAAATGTAAATCCTAGTCAATTCCAGAAAGAACAATATCATTGAGCTAATACAAAACCGAAATATCATAACAGCAAAAACGAGAGAGAAACAGATACTACTCTCTTGCTGAAAAGTCTGATTAAATAACAAAATAAAAACAACACGAAAGGGAAAAACAAAACTAAGAGCAGACGACGATGGCTGAAGACGCAATCTACTTGGATCTCTGTCTCATCTTTCGGCGCTTCCTCTTCAACCTCCTCATACGCTTCTTCTTCCACTGCACAAATCACAAATCACGAATTCAAATTAAAACACAATTAAACCAAAATAATCAAAAGAAAATAAAATTGAGAAAAACGAAACTAGATGGTGAAGGATCTAACCTTGGCCCTCATTGCGGTTGAAAACGGGAGAGAACTTGTTGAGAAAAAACCCTAATCGAACGAAAATGAGACTGCGCAGAAGTAACTGCGATTAGGAAGAGAAGCGTGGTGAGTTTCGTGAATTTATAGCGAATCGTAAACCCTAGAAAATAGAATGGTTTGGGCTTTATTTTTAGCCCGTGGGTTTTCAACTCTCGAAAGGAAAAATGATTGCTATTAACACCCTCTAAGGGTTTTTTCTTCTCCAAGTAACTTTGGGCAAAGTAAACTTCGGAATATTATGGAGTAAATATTCTTTTACTCTAAATGATGCTCCAAAAAACATCATTGATATTGGTGTTATTATTAATTTAAATGAATCATGTCTCTATTAAAGTGTCAATTACAAAAAAAAAATAGGTGTATGTTTGACGGTAAATAATTTCTTTTAACAATTTTAAAAGTTTGTGTGAAATATATATGACTCCTGTTATCTATTTTTAAAGTGAGACATTCACAAATGTTTCTCTCAATAAAAGAGTGGGTGTTTAAGAAAGTGTTTTTAGCAATTCTCTTGAAAGTTTATATTTTAATTCTTTACCACATCGACAAATTTATTTTTAACTGTGAGTAACAAGTTATTCAAGTGTGTATAATAATTGATTTTTATTAAGTGATTTTATAAAATTAATTTTGATTAAATGTGAATTAAACGGAGTTATGATATAAGATAAACAACTTAATGAAAATATATTATGAATCCTCCACCGAGATGTTATGAATATGGTGATTAAATGTCAAAGAATATTATAGACATGATAGAAGTCTAAATCAAGTGACACTAGAGGAAGGTAGAATTGATTGAGAAGAATTGGATGTGCCAAAACAATTCATCTTATAAGGAGGATAACTATGATAGTGTTGTCGGCTCAAAGTCAAGAAGCAGAGCATTTAACATAAACCCTCTAAAATGAAAGAGACCAGTGGAGGGTGTAATTTAGTTCCCTTTCACGTATGAGATTAACAAGAATGTGATATAGATATAATTTCAACTACGGGTGAGTGTGATGGAATGTTTGACCCACAATAGCATCTAACGTCCTTCAAAACCATAATAAAACTTCAACAAACATATGCACTTTGAAGTGCATCGCATTCCCACGTACATTAAATAGGGCTTCATTTTCTGGGTCTCACGCCTCCTAATGAAGTCCATTAAGTCGTGGAAGCAACTAGCTCAGATGTTCATATTTGTATTCACCCAAAATTCAATAACACAAATGAGCTCAATGTACCTCATTGTATTCAGAAAAAAGTAAGAAAAACCGCTCAGTTCGTTCGTGGACCATTTTACGGACGAGACATCATAGATAAAAGAAACCTAAACTTAGTTGTGGCTTTACATGCACTGGTAAAAGGTCTAAAACTATATACCCCCCCCCCCCTTTTTTTTAAATCTCTAGCACTTAGATCGTCTAAAATGATATACGTACATACAAAAGAGTAGAAGGATACATGGTTATTAATGATATTGTTTCAACAAGCAGGGAAAATATAAAATATCTCCCCCATATTGATTAGGACAGAGGTGGAGTAAATAACAATTGAGATAATAGAAAAAGAAAAGTTACTTCTCCCACTTCATTCCACTAGCAAAAAAAATTCAAGGATCTTTTGAGATGCTTATTGTAACACTCTTATAAACACCACATATAATTTACGAATAAATTAATTAAAATCACCACATAATGGTGTCACACGTCATAATAAAAATAACATAAACCAATCCTGCTCTGTAACACGTGTTACTGAAGGTGCGAGAAACACAAGAATGGGGGTTTCAGATTGGGTTTCACCAAATATAATCTTTTTGCAACTCAAACACAAAGTTAACAAGTGAATAAAAATGAATGAACACAATTAATAAGTTTCAATTCTTCCAACTTCTCCTTTTATAGCTGAAAAATAGATATGTTGGAGGGTAGAATAGGAAACATATAACCAATTGTTTTGTCCCCAATGGTCATGGTGGAAATGGTAGACAACAAGTACAAAAAGATTGTCCTTACGCCATCCTATTAGATTAGAGGTCACAGTGTACTTTGTACTTTTATACTCACAATATCTCACAAGCCAATCTTGATATTTATATTATATTTCTTCAGAGATTTATGATGTATGTTGTTGAAGCATGTTGTAGAAGGATCAGAACTTGAATCTTCTTGGCCTAAGTCTTTGAAGACTTCATAACTTGTTCAGAAGAACCTTGTCTTCAGAGTCTCCAGCACTTGGTCTTCAGAAGTAATGTCTTCAGATCTTCAGAACTTGTTCAGCAGAACCTTGTTTTCACATCTTTAGAACTTGGGACAACATAAGCAAATCTTTAGAAGACCTCCAAAGCTTCCTTGCAAAGTCATGATCAGAAGCTCTTATACTAATGTTCCTTAGAACTGTTGCATAAGAAGCATTCCATAATCTACTTAACTTTGTAACACACCAAAGGTATTCTTCCAGAGTGTTGAGTTCAGAACCTGATGCATCACACGCCTTCTACCAGAGTTAGAATGTAACACCCTTCTAAACCCCAAGGAATATTCGCTGAATAGTTCAATAATTAAATCAGAGTAATGCACCAAAAAAGGTATCACATTTGCTTCAAACAAACTTCATAACACATCATGTTCCGTAACACGGGATTTCAAAAATCAATTACTCACAACGGAAATTCATAATTTAAAACATCTTTATTGAGATACTTCTAAATAACCTTACCAAATCAAAACAACTCAATTACCACAAGGATAGTTCAAATCTCAAATTAAACAACACAACATGATTATTCAAAACAGACGATCCCATCCTGATGTTACATAACAGAGCAAGACCCCTTTTATTCTATAGGAAATAAAGAACACACTCTGCAGCTATCCTCTAAGCCTCAGTGAACTATTATGGATTGCATGAGGGTTACCCACGTATAGAGGCAACATTTCCAAGCAGCAAGGGTGAGTAAATCATAATCATTATAAAAGACATAAGGAGTAAATATAGTAGTCATGATACATCATCAAAGAAATACACAATTGAAAACCTCATGTCGTACTCACACCTTCAAGCATCATAATACGCATTAGACACGCCTAATATCATTGTCATACCCCAAATTCGCTCTACTCTTATTTATGATTAGGTTTCCTTTAAATAAATCATATTATTTAATTTTTATTTTTTATGGGAAGGTTAAAGCATAAAATAGGAGTGTGTCGATTTAAAATGGGTCATCAATATTTTATATCCCATTAAGATTTAAAATAAGAACTCATTTCTAATGAAGGGAAGTGTATTCTTTTAGAAGGTATAAACAAGCTCTTTTAAATAAAGCCCATTGAATTTCATTCTTTTTTTTGTGTACAAAATAATTCTATTTTTGCTAAGGCCCAATGCTGTTAAAATGGTACGACCAAGTCGATTTTTAGTTTGTTTTTATTCTTATTACAACATTATCATTATAATTAAATTGTTGATTATTCTTGATATTGTTACATTATTGTTAACGTTGTTTGTTAATTACACTAATTTTAATTAAAACAGTATACTAAGGACATAAATTGAAAATTGATTTTTTGTTTTATTGATTAAAATAGTATTAGTAAGAAATTTTTCTTTTCTTATTACGGTCCAAAAAGATGATAATACTTTTTTTGGAGAATCGAAAAATTGAAAAGCCTGGCCCATTTCTATTTTTTGGGAAAACTGTTTTTTTTTTTATTACTGAATTTTTAAAGTTGTTTGTTTTATTTTTTTGAACTAACATGCCCAACAACCAGAACACCTGGCCCAATACAGTTTCAGTTCAATAAAAAAGAAGTGGTTTTACTAAAAAAACTTTGTATTTTAGGCTTGTTAATTTTTTTGTTTTCATTTGCTGATAAAGAAAAAAAGTGCACATCCGGCCCAATCCAAACCAAGATGCGTATGGCCTAATTATATCACAAACTATTACTGTAGAGATCAAGAAAGCAGAATTTTACAGAAATTGGAGTTAAAACACATAATCAAAGCAGAAGCGACATTAAATCCATAAACAAATTTCAACTAAAGTGGAAACATCATTCATTACAAAACAAAATCATATCATCTAATACAGATTGTATCAATAAACGTTCTTAAAGTTACAGACACCAATTTCAAAATACTTCCTAATCTAAAAATCCTAAATAAATACAGAATTCAATTACAGACAATATTCAAAAACCTTCCTAATTTCTGAAAACCTAATTAAGTCCTAGATTTAATTTACAGACAAAATGCTAATTTACCTAAAATGCTGAAATTCTCAGTTTGTTATAAAAGCATACGATTGATTACAGAAAAAGGGCAGAAAGAAAAGAAAAGAAAAATTACAGAAGAAAATTGCAAAAGGGTTTACAGAAGAGGGAGAATAGAATAGATGGTGTCCATGTCGCACCACTGAGAGTTCGTCGTCGCTGCTGACCTATATTCATCATTCTGATTTAGAGTTTCAAGATCTGAAACCCTAAATTCGCCGCTCTTCATCCTTAACCGTTGTCGTGCCTCTCCCATCCTTGTCACTCCTCACACCTACAAAGACAACAAGGAAAAAGGATCAGAAATCGTAACCAAAAAGCATAGAAAAGAAATCGCTGCAATAAAGGTAATATAGTACTTAGCTAATGTCGTTTTTGTCTTTTAATTGTTGAGAGTTTGGGAGATATGGGGTGATCTTGGGTTGGTCTAAGCTTTAGGGGGGGTGTCGCCGCCATTGGAGTTTGGGGATAGGGTTTCACGTTTGTGGCTAAGTATATTAATGTCTTAATCATGTGCGCGTCCCCTATAATCATTATCATACTCCCTTGCCTTTATCCACTCGATCCCAATCACATGATCCTCAACGCGCTCTCCCACTGGGTCACAATAGGCCCTCCCACATGGAGTTAAGCGGATTAATCAAACCCTTCGCATTGGGCCTATCCCATTACTTATACATACCCCCTTTCGAATTTAGTTTTGCCAATACATGTAAAAACACACTCCCTGGCCTCTTGGGCCTGAATTTTGACCCTTCTTAATAACACCTCACATTTTACTACCTA